AACTGGTGAAAATTTCATGTCATTAGCACCTCTAGTAATATAATTACTGAGAAAAATGGTGATGTGTTTAATACTTATTTTACCCGCTGTAAACTGAGCCTGGTGGGCTGCTGAATTTTTGGTTGTTTATTTACTTTACAAATAATGAAAATTTAATACTCAGCTAAGATACAAAGTTTTGAAATTTTCTGCCAGTGTTATTATTATTTTGTACAGGCAGGTCAACCTTAGGACTAATGTCCTGATACAAAAAATTTACAGTTTTAATCCTTCAGAACAGGACTGTCAAACTCATTTTCACAGTGGGCCACATGAGCGTTATGTTGGACCTCAAAGGGCCAGTTGTAATTAACTTTGACATTTTGTGTTTAAGACTTCCCATTTCTCATCTCATTGATCCAAATGAAGATATATTTTTTTCTAAGCAGGCTCTCAAAATAAAAAAGTAGGACCCACATTACACTGACTGAACAGAGACGGGTTTTATTCTGCAGAAAAAGTTGAACTTCAACTCACTACATCTCAGAATCAGTTGACTCTGCCTTGATTATTATTCATTTTTGTGTGTAACCCATTGTATAAGATTTATGAGTTGAATGTATTGAAATGAACATGTAGAGATCTAAAATGAACATGGGAAATAGCAAAAATAAATAATTTTGCGGAACCTTCTCCTTTGCTGCTTGTTTCTCTTAAGGCACCATGTGGTGGCTGTTCATTAATTCATTCTCTACTTCACCCCCCCATAAAACCCCCTGCAGTCCTTTTTTCTGCCTGAAAAATACTCTAAACTCTCTGCCCACATTAGTAAAACAAACGCAGTGCAGCACAATAAACATTATCTTTGTCAAACTTTATTTATTTATTTTGTTGCGGACATGGTCGAGGCACTGATTGAACTGTGGTTATTGAGGAGGTCGTAGGTGATGGAGCTGCACCACCAAAAAGTATGGCCTAAATATGTGTAACATTTAATTAGTTGCACCAAATGTATGTAGATGCAAATTAAATCAAAAACTGAGATTTGGAGGAGGGGGGGGATCGAGGGTAATTTGCTATACTTTCCAGAAAATAATGTTTCCCTATCTGTTCTATTATAATGCTTTAAAATCTAAAGTATTAATGAGGAATGTTCTTTTAGCTCCACATGTTTGATGTTTTAACTACATAAACACACCAACAGGCGCTTCAGTGATCCCCAAAACTAGACTCACAAACAAGGCACAAATGGAAGATATTATTTAGAAAGTTCACTAAAGATCACACCTGAAATATTTTATTCTTTATTTGCCTTCTTAAAGCTCTTACATCTCACTTGCAAATATTTAAATACAGTAAACTGTAATTATAGATCATCTACATTTAAACTACTGAACTTTCAGCTGTTCTGTAACAGAGTATCAGTGCTTTAAAAAATTGTAATTAAATTATAAACTTCATATTAACTGTTTCACAAATTAAGGCTCCAAATGTATTTTGGGAATAGAGTATGAAAAAAGGGATTTCTCTATATATTTGTAATTCCAAGCTGTTATTGTTTGTCTCTTTCCTGGCTTGTTTCCATTTTTTTTCCTGCAACACCCCCCACCCCACCCCTCCACCCGTCCGTCCCTCCTGGTCTATCCAGACAGTTCACCCATCACGCTCATGGCCTCAGATAGCACAGGGGTCACAGTTTAGACACAAGGCCGCCCGTGATTGGCCCCAGTGTTGGACGCAGCGCAAAACTCAGAGTTCATTAGAGGTAGATGAGAAAGAGGGGGATGTTGTGCTCATATATGCATGTGAGTATGCAAAGTGAGGGGCGGAGGGGGTTCAGACAGGCAGATTACCAGTCTCAAACAAACCCCTTGAACAAAAACAATACTGTCTCACATTGGCAATTATGCCGGGAAACCCAAGCTAAATCTAAAAAAAGGTTTACAGACATTTTTTTGTTTCTAGAAACCAAGAAATATTTTAAACAGAAGAACAATCTAACAAGCGATCTGACTGCTAATGAAGAGATCAAACATGGCACTACAAACATTAAGAGTAATAATTGTAATCGTGAGAATCAACAAATAATGTGTGTCCATGTGTGAGCTCGTGTGACAGAGAGAGTGTCGGGGGGTGGGGGGTGCTCCCTAGACAGATTAGGGGGTCCAGCCAGCCTTCATATTTTGTCTCGTAGTGTCGTCTGCTGGGGATTATCCGATTACTGAGCCACCCTTAACACTGAAAAACACGCCCTCTCATACACACACTGTTCAAAAACAAAGGCGTATATATTCATGCACATACACAAGTAACATGTAAATATGAGCTGACAATTACATTCCAACCACCCACGTACACGTAAACACACATCAGCAGGATGCACTGTCTTCCATTTCAGTTTCTTAACAGGACAGACACAAAGACGCTCTAATCCTTACATAATCCCCTTCTGCTACCAAAAACCAAACTCTGGTCACATTAACTCTCGCTACCACATGCTTAAAAGCATAACTACTTCAGAAATACTTTTAAATTCAGCTTTGTGTTGCACTCAAATGTTCTCAATCAATATGTGTGTGCACAAACTCATGACACATTTAAACTAACTTTGCCATATTTTAGTATTTTTTTTTTTCACTTTTTAAACAACTGTTTTATCAGTTCAGCAGATGTAATTCTTTGTGTGCACACAGGACCTGCTTGGATAGAAAATAATTTACTTGGACAATTACTTTTTAAAAATACAGTACACTGGTTGATGTGTTTAAACCCTAAAGAAATACCAACAGTGACACCTAGTGGTGATTTGAAGGTCCTGTAAGACGAGGAGTGACATTTCAGTGAGAAAAGAAAGTTGTGCAGAAATTTTAGTATTTTTTAACTGTTCTTAAAAGTTTAACTTCTCAGTCAAACATCCAAACAAAAGCTAATAAAAATGGATGAGATGAAAGGTGTGTGCCTGTTTCAAGAAAGGGTTGCAATTATTATTTTTTCTTCCTTTTTATAGACCTTTACTTAATCATCTAAACTAAATACTTGAATAGAAGTGGACTTTCTTTTTTGGTGAATTTACTGAAAAGACCAAAAGCCCTTCGGATAACAGCGAAAATATTCAGAAAAGGCAACGGAGGAGGTCCTATTATCTTATATTCAAGCACTTTTGAAAACTGACCTGAAAAACTGATAAAAAAACAAACACTTAAAGTTTATTTTTCACATTAATAGAATGTTTAGCTAAATATAATATTTGTTGGTTATTTAGTAATTGATGCATTAATAACAAAACTAATTTTAGGACAGATTTTTTTCAGAATAAACTGTGAAATTTGATCCAACATCTCAGACTGTACCAATGTTTGGCACAGATAAAATATAATTTTAAGGGGTTTAAAGATCCACTCTTTGATCTCCCTCTAAACTCAGAAAGTCAGACTTGCTTAATGAACTTTTTTATTGTTGTTGCTGCTGTTATTGTGCAAACTATATCTAGACATTTAATGGTTTATTAAAGTATCTGGTGGACATTTATTCTTTTATATCTTCTCAGGGGTTCTCAAGCCATCTGGGTCTGGGGACCCCTTACAAGGGCGAAAAAAATTCCAGGGACCACCTCATAAACCCCATGCTGTTTCAAAAGATAATTTATTGTCATTTCAACCCCTAAATGCCATGGGAATTTATATTTTTATTAAGTTTATTATGATTGTTTTATTAGTTCATTGTTCTCCATGTATTTTTAAAAATAAAAACCAAATTAACATTATAGTAAAGATTTTTGAGGACCCCCAAGATAACTCTCGCGGACCCCTGGGGGTCCAGGGCCCCCAGTTTGAGAACCTCTAGCTTAAACAACTAATACAAAAGTCTTCACAGGCTCACCTTGTTGGTTTTTCAAGTTCAGTCAACAAAAAACAAAACAAAAAAAAAACAATAAATAGTAGGGGTAGCATTATCACAGTACTGAAGAAATTTTGTAACTGATAAATTGAATATTAGATTCAGTTTTGTATTTTATACTTTTCTGATCATTTCAGTCTGTAAGGTTGAAGTTGACAAAGAGTTGGTGTGTTATCATGTATTCTTTCTCTTAGCCTAAACAAAACTGAGTGATGTTCTGACGTCTGACGTAAAAGGTAACACCTCTGGGGTGTAACCAGGAAGAGGTGTACATTATAAGCTCAATTCATTATTATAGTAGAAAGAAGTTGTCAGTGTTTTGCAGAGTGTCTGCTCAGAGCAGAGCTCCCGTGTTTGTTTTGGTTTGGCCCAAGGTTGTACGCTGAGGCCTGTGCTGCTGAGAGCTGAATGAAGCTGATTGGAGTCAGGGGACTGAAATAAAGTTTTTAACAAGAAATCCAGCTGAATCCTGTTTATTCGGACATAACATTTGGAGCAACGCATATTTTTCCAACAGTACTATGTAATATAATTTGTTTGCATGACATCAAAATTTATATGATTTTGATTCAATTCACAAGTTTGCAATTAATATGAGAGAGCTCATCTAACACTATCATTTAGTAAATGATTGCTAGATTGGCATATGATGACAATGTGGATTGATGTTTTTGTTTTTCCCTGATGTAATTGAATCATTAATCATTTAATCCACACATCAGTGTGGATCAATAAATAGGAAGATATCCCTTTTGTCAGCATTTTTTTATGAATGTTTTAGTTTAAAAATCTTTACATATTATTGAAACTTACCCAGTTTGTATGTCAGCACATACAGGACAGTCCAAGGTGTGCCAGGAACTGCCAGCAGTTTCCTCCAAACCTTCCATGGTCTTATAATTTCAGCTCCCTGTCCACCCCTCCTGCTGCCATCTGCCAGCTGCCCCCTCACCCCCTCATCGTCCAGCACAGGGGCCCCCCACACAAACAGAGCCACTCCTGCATACACAAATGTCAGCAGCATAAACATCCAACCCCATCCAGCCACATCAATCACAGCCAGGAGCCCGCCTCCAGCAAACACTGATCCAGCCTTATAACCTACGACTTGGGCAGTGTTGCCCAGACCCAGTTCTCCACGTCCTTTCAACAACCCCACTGCTGCTCCGTCTACAGCGATATCTTGAACAGAGGCCAAGGTGTTCATAGCCAACAGAGTTCCAGCCACTCCCCAGATATGCGCTTCTGGGGCCAGGGCAGCACTCAACAGACATGTCAGGGCCAGCCCAGACACCGTCCATACCAGCCAGCGACGCTTAGTGCCAAGTCTGTCCACCAAAGGGGCCCAGAGCACCTTGAGTACCCAGGGGAAGTAGAGGATCTTGGTGAAACCGATGCGGGTGAGAGAGTGACCAGCTCCACGCAGGTAGACAGGAAGCAGAGAAGACTGGAGACCATAGGGAATGCCCTGGACAAAGTACAGCAGGCCCAAGAAAACTAGTTTGTCATTCATGGTCTTCCTCCAAACGTAGCTGTGTGGTTGAGCAGCTGCTGCAGTGGTCCATGAGTCGGGTCACTGCCTGTGTTATGGCTTGATACAAATGAACTGACCTCCCTGAAATACAAGAAACAGAGAAGGAAACAATCAAAGGTAGTGAGGATAAACTAGTTGTATGAGTTTCTGAGGAGCTAAATACTTCAACACATGTACTTTAGCAGCCTTATAAAGCTGGCACCTTAATGTTGTTTTACTGCTCTCCTGCCCAGCTCAGTTACTGTAACACTACTCCGGCTAGCAAAGGTCTTCTACAAGTCAAACGCTGTTTTACTCGTTCAATATTACGACTATAATTGCGTTTTCATTCTTTGCTTTAAGTTACTACATCGGCACATTAAACGTTTTGCAGCCAAAAGATGTCACTCAGCAGCTCGGTTAGAGAAGCTAGCTCATCATGCAGAAGAACATTAGTTATGTTGTTTGTCAGCCTTATAAAGGTGTTGTTACAGCGGAAAAGTAATAAGCAGTAGTTCGATATGGATTATGAGAAGCGTTTTTATTTAAAAATTTTAAATATAATCGAAAGTTGTTTTACCGGCGTTAGCTGACTCCTGTGTGTTGGGTATGGTTGTTGTGGGATCACCTTTTTGCACGCGGAGAACTTCTTCGTGGGTTTTACAGCAGCTGGCACCTTAAAGTTACAATACTGCCACCTCGTGGATTTAAACGTATCTAACACCCTTAAAACTGCAACCTGTTTTTAGACTAATTTGATTCTTTTCTTTTTGTTGATGTTTTTACTTGAGTTAGATGTAATGTGTTAACTTTTGTGTATTTTGCTTTGCTTATTTGTAGAAATTTTTATTCTCAGAAAAGCCTCCATGAGCTGAAAACTGCATGTGGATTAGTTATACAGTAGCTTTTTCTGATTCCTTGTTTGACCCACAGTTGAATTACCTCATATAGCAGTTCATGTCTGATCTGACACATTTGTAAAAATAGATCATTAACGTTACCACAGCCCTTAAAAAACCTTTTTATGCCATAAATATTGCACTCTGCTTAACCGTGTACTAAATAAACACTGTAAATGTTGATGTTTCTTTTTTAGTGAATTGTTTTTTTTTATTTTGTATTGTCAAATTTAGTACATTTTTACTCCTTTATGCATTGTAATGTGTTAAATAAACTGGTTTATTTGTGACATGTGCAAGAAAGGAAATGTCTCAGGAAGCTCTTCATTTTAAAACCTTTATTTGCAGATACGAAAGCTCCTTCAGTAGAATTTCTCCCACTTAATATTTGTAACATGATTATAAGTATATGTCATGAACACTGCATTACCCATCCTGAGTTTCATGAGCTTCAAGTGTAAAATAAAAAAAAAAACATAGAATATTCGGGAGCACAGTTCTAGTGGCATGCTGTTGTAAGGTCAATGCTGAACATTTTTGGAATAAATCTTAGTTCCCAGGGCAAAAATCTTTTCGCGGAAGCAGCGCCAATTTCATGAAATTCTTATACTTGTTGCTAAATATCATGACATCTCTTTACTTCTCCACAAATTTGCATAAGGCACGATATGGGTGAAGAGAAAATGGGTGATTTGCCACAGATGGACATCATGGAGGATATTTGGCTTCTTTGCACTTTGTTCCCAATGACATATTTTTAGTTTTCACCCCCACAAAGAGCGAGAAGGATCTTCTCGTAGTCTCCTTTTGTGTCATCCTAAAAGAACAAAAAGATGAATCAGTGGAGCTCGAAACACGTTTAATATGGAAACCCTGCTAAAGAACAACTAATTTTGTTATCTTTATTAGCAGAAGCCTGCTCACCAGAATATCCTGGTAGAGGGTTTTGCCGTATTTTTTCTTGTACTCATCCTTGATCCGTTTCATGTCGATCTCAGAACGGCTCACCATGATGCGGGTCAGGATAGGTTTGCGGGTACCTGAACCCTGACAGGGAGGATTAGAGTTAGGAAAAGCTTTAAGTTGCAGGAACATGCTTTAAATTATAGATGTTGTTAAGTATACAGTATTTTGTAAGCTGTGTCACATATTTACCTTCATGGCCAAGTAGAGCCTTTCTGCAAAGAATGCAGCCCTGCTTCCAGCACATTGCACTGTTAAAATGTAAGATAATTGTTAAAATATATGGTTTGTGTCCAGTTTGTTGGTTTTGTGCTTGAGTAAAAAGAAAAAAAAAGTGTATAAATCTGTCTTTACCTATTGCTTTGAGACAGTTCTTTATATCTCCCTTCAGCTCCAGGTCAAGAGCTTTGGACACATCCACTTTGCTGTACTTTGAGTACTTCTCAAAGACTAGAAAGAAGAAAAAAAGAAGAAGCAGAGAGGTTAAACAGTTTATCTCACAAGGACGAATAGTTAAAAATAAGTGAAATTCTTCAAGCTATCTGACCTTTGCGAAGATGACAGGCACTCCTGGTGGTCAGGATGTCGATGAAGACGGCGCAGTCTGTGCCCTTCTTGCCCTCCCCAGCCTCGTACAGAGCCCTGGCATCGCTGTCAATCAACTGCTCACTAACTCCTTCAGTCCTGCCGGCCTGCATCATGCAACAACATGCAAGGTTAAGTTACCAAAGCCAAAAGGCCCAAATGAAAACAACAACAACATCAATCTAACAAAAGTAAGTACTGGTATTTAAAAAGAAAAATTTAGGCATAAAGTGATCTGGATTGTAATACATATAATGCTGCTTTGAATGTTAATTAAAAAGATGCTTATATTGTTGAGTTTGTGTGTACACATGCATGTGTATCAAGGGAGTGAGTTTATCTTTCTTAAACCACATGAAGTCTAAAGTAGGGTGTGTTGCCTCAAATCCTGATGGTGTCCTGGTGCTATGACTGTTAGGATAATTGCAGTAAATTAAACTTCATAAAGAACCACATGTTTAGCGGCAGAAAGCTGCATGTGTACCTTGCAGAGAGCCAAGAGGGCAGCCCTGAAGTCTCCACTGGTGTCAGACCTGATGTCCTGCTCCAGATCCTTCTTGAATTCTTTGAAGAATAAAAAAATAAATAAAAGTTGTGATTTAGTACAAACAATTGGCTCAAAAGCAACAATTTGCTTTTGTTTTTTATATTTTTGTATTGATAAGTTTTGTGCTGCTGAGACCACTAAGATGTCTTCCGCAGTGCTTGTTGTCTTTCACACCAAATGCATTCAACTCTATCAAATTTCACTTTCTAACATTTAGTTCTTTGCTGATTCTTTTTGTTGTCTTGGTTTTGTTATCAAAAAATGTACTTCTGAGTTCCTCCTTTGTGCATGCATTTTAGTCTTGGTATTTAAGTTTACCCTTATGCACGTTTTTAGCTCCTCAGACTGTTTTCTTACTAGTTTTAAGACGTATTTTTGTTTGCACACACCTTCTTTGTAGGCTTTCTTCAGGTCCAGGATCTGCTTGTTGTTTCTGGAGGCAAGAATCTCCACCAGGGTGTCCTCATCTGTTCCAAGACCCTGAGAAAGGCGGCACAGAGAGACAGCAACAAACTCAGGTCCAGCAACGACATTTAAGCTCCCATTAGGAAAACAAGAAATGAATGTGTGGAAGTGGGAGAGGGAGTTGATGTGGCAAAAGTAAAAGCTATTGAAAGGTCAGCGAATTCACCATAGAGCCTTTATGTTTTGGTTGTAATGCACAGCGAATTTTGCAGTGTTAAATCAACACTTAAATAGTTAAATTTAACACGGTGTCCGAGTCTTTTTGGTCCTTTTCTGAATTGGTGTCAGTTTAACTCTTTCCAAAGTGTGAAATTCTTAGAGTACACTTTAACTCTAAACAGAGTTCAAACTTAACACTGATTAACACTGTACAGTGTTGATGAAACTTCAAGTCAAATAACTCTGATAAGAGTAAATATGATTCTGAGCAGAGTTAATAAGGTACTCCACTGTGGTGACAAATCAACTCTGATTCTCATGCTTTTCAACACTGCACTGAGTTATTGATGGTTAACACTGGAGGTTCATATACCTCCTATGAGTGTTAATTTGACACTACTGTGTTGATTATTACCTCCGCCAAGGGCGAGGTAATGTTTTCGGTCACGTCTGTCTGTCTGTCTGTCTGTCTGTCTGTCTGTCTGTCTGTCTGTCTGTCTGTCTGTCTGTCTGTCTGTCTGTCTGTCTGTCTGTCTGTCTG